AAAGAGAAGCTGGTACCACTGATTCTGAAACCATTCCAAAAAATCCAAAAAGAGGGAATCCTTCCCAAATCATTTTATGAGACCAATATCATCCTGATACCAAAACCCGGCAGAGACTCAATGAAAAAAGAAAACTTCGGGCCAATATCCATGATGAACACAGATGCAGAAATCTTCAATAAAATACTGGCAAACCAATTGCAACAGCACATCAAAGAGCTTATGTACCACAATTAAGTAGGCTTCATCCCGGGGATGCAAGGCTGGTTCAACATACACAAGCCTATCAACGTAATCCACCATATAAACAGAATCAAAGACAAAAACCACATGATTATCTCAATAGATGCAGAGAAGGCCTTTGACAAAATTCAACAGCCCTTCATGCTAAAAACTCTCAATAAATTAGGTATCAATGGAACATATCTCAAAATAATAAAAAGCTATTTATGACAAACCAACAGCCAATATCATACTGAATGGGCAAAACCTGGAAGCATTTCCTTTGAAATCTGGCACTAGACAAGGATGCCCTCTCTCACCACTCCTATTCAATATAGTATTGGAAGTTCTAGCCAGAGTAATCAGGCAAGAAAAAGAAATAAAGGGTATTCAATTAGGAAAGGAGGAAGTCAAATTGTCTCTATTTGCAGACAACATGATTGTATATTTAGATGACCCCATCATCTCAGTCCAAAATCTCCTTAAACTGATAAGCAACTTCAGCAAAGTCTCAGGATAAAAAAATCAATGTGCAGAAATCACAAGCATTCCTAGACATCAATAACAGACTTAGGGAGCCAAATCAAGGACAAACTGCCATTCACAATTGCTACAAAGAGAATAAAACACCTAGGAATACAACTAACAAAGGATGTGAAGGACCTCTTCAAGGAGAACTATAAACCACTGTTCAAGGAAATAAGAGAGGACACAAACAGATGGAAAAACATTCCATGCTCATGGTTAGAAAGAATCAATATTGTGAAAATGGCCATAGTGCCCAAAGTAATTTATAGATTCATTGCTACCCCATCAAGCTACCTATGACCCTCTTCACAGAACTGGAAGAAAACATCTTAAACTTCATATGAAACCAAAAGATAGCTTGATAAGCCAAGACAATCCTAAGCAAAAAGAACAAAGCTGGAGTCATCACACTACCTGACTTCAAACTAAACTACAAGGCTACCGTAATGAAAACAGCATGGTACTGGTACCAAAACAGGGCTATAGACCAATGGAACAGAACAAAGGCCTCAGAGGCAACGTCACACATCTACAACCATCTGATCTTTGACAAACCTGACAAAAACAAGCAATGGGGAAAGGATTCCCTGTTTAATAAATGGCATTGGGAAAACTGGCTATCCATGTGCAGAAAGCAGAAACTGGACCCCTACCTGACATCTTACACTAACATTAACTCCAGATGGATTAAAGACTTAAACATAAGACCTACCACATAAAAATCCTAGAAGAAAACATAGGCAAAACCATTCAGGACATAGGCATAGTCAAGGACTTCATGATTAAAACACCAAAAGCATTGGCAACAAAGGCCTAAATAGATAAATGGGATCTAATTAAACTACAGAGCTTCTGTACAGCAAAAGAAACAATCATTAGAGTGAACTGGCAACCAACATAATGGGAAAAAAATGTTTGCAATCTACCCACCTGACAAAGGGCTAATATCCAGAATCTACAAAGAATTGAAACAGACTTACAAGAAAAAAAAACAAATAAACCCATTCAAAAGTAGGTGAAGGACATGAACAGACTCTTTTCAAAGGAAGACATATTTGAGGCCAACAAACATATGAAAAAATGCTCATCATCACTGGTCATTAGAGAAATGCAAATCAAAACCACATTGAGATACCATCTCACGCCAGTTAGATGGCGAGCATTAAAAAATCAGGAGACAACAGATGTTGGAGAGGATGTGGAGAAATAAACACTTTTACACTGTAGGTGGGAGTGTAAATTAGTTCAACCATTGTGGAAGACAGTGTGGCAATTCCTCAAGGACCTCGACATAGAAATTCCATTTGACCCAGCAATCCCATTACCTGGTTTATATCCAAAAGATTATAAATCATTCTATTATAAAGACACATAGACACGTATGTTCATTTTGGCACTGTTTACAATAGCAAAGACCTGGAACCAACCCAAATACCCCTCGATAATAGACTGGACAAGGAAAATGTGGCACACATACACCGTGGAATACTATGCAGCCATAAAAAACGATGAGTTCGTGTCCTTTGTAGTGACATGGATGAATCTGGAGACCATCATTCTCAGAAAACTGATACAAGAACAAAAAATCAAACACCACATGTTCTCACTGATAGATGGGTGTTGAGCAATGAGAACACATAGACACAGGGAGAGGAGCATCACACACTGAGGTTTGTTGGTGGGGAACAGGGGTGGGACAGTGGGGGATAGGGAGGTTGGGGAGGGATATCATGGGAATAAATGCCAGATATAGGTGACAGGGGGATAGAGGCAGCAAACCACATTGCCATGTATATACCTATGCAACAATCCTGCATGATCTGCACATGTACCCCAGAACCTAAAGTGCCATAAAATATATTTTTTTAAAAAAAAGAGAGAGAGAAAGATGCCATTAAATGACATGAGAAACAACTGGGGCCTGAATTAGTACATTCCCTTTTTACCACTATATAGCCTAGAGCAGTGCAGGGCACCTCAGAAGAGCTTATTAAATGAAATATATACGCTAGGCACTGTTCCAAGCATCTTACATATTGACTTGCTTAATTCTTTTAACAATCCTACAAGGTATGTAGCATTATTATGATGCTTCTTTTTTTACAGTTGAAGAAACCAAGGCCCAGAAAAGCCAGGAAATTTGTTCATGTGACACAGAAACTAGTGCACATGGGATATCACCCCAGGCATCTGACTCCGAAAGTCATACTCTTAACCACTCTACTCGGCTGACTCCCTCATAGGAAGCAGATTAGGCAGGGTTTGTCAACTGCTGGATGTGGAAGGAGAGGAAAGAGTCAATGATGACAGCCAGGTTTCTGGAGTAGAGAGCTGGGTATACAATGAATAAATATGTCTATACATTTTCTTGATGCGGTAGAAGCCAAGACTAAATGTTTAGTCAAGGGCACTGGGAATTTAAAAAGTGTGGTAGCTGAAGGAGTAGAATAAGGCCTTGAAGACAGTGCAAAAGGGGGCTGCCACAGTCCAGTAAAGTGAGTGTTTGGCAGCTCCTTGGCCTTAGGATTTTGTTCCAACTATGCTCAGTCATCAGAAATGGAGGCAGGGCATGGAGAGAGATGTCAACAATATTAGAAAACTTACTCTCGTCTTACACTTCTGAAAATGAGCTCAATTATGATCTGTGGTAGACACACATGGGGCAAGAGCCAGAGAAAAAGTACACTTCTGACCAGTAAGCACAGTTATATGCTACCTTCTTAAAGCTCGACCAACAGTTTCCTCTCCCTGCCAATGTACCACCTAGATGTTCTGGCACATTTCCTTGAGGTGTTCGCCTAAGTGACCTTAGTGCAAGTGGAGGAAGGGGTGGGGTGAGCAGGATATCTATTTTTAAGTCCAAAGCAAATGCTAGTTTGCAACATTTGGCTTGGAAAGTGAGCTTTCTCAACATCCCCAACCATCAGAAGCTAAGGAACTATGGACACTGATCTGTAAAAGGGTTGGGAGCAGAACTTGGAGTTCTTTTTTTTTTTTAGACAGAGTCTCACTCTGTCACGATCTCGGCTCATTGCAACCACCGCTTCCTGGGTTCAAGCAATTCTCCTGCCTCAGCCTCACGAGTAGCTGGGACCACAGGCACACGCCACCACACCCAGTTAATTTTTGTATTTTTTAGTAGAGATGGGATTTCACCATGATCTCAATCTCTTGACCTCGTGATCAACCCACTTCAGCCTCCCAAAGTGCTGGGATTACAGGCGTGAGCCACCACGCCTGGCCTGGCAGTGGAGTTCTTAAAGTTTAGTGAGGATCATCATCACCTGGAAAGCTTGTTAAAACAGGACATGCTGGGCCTAATCCCCAAAGTTTCTAATTCAGTAGGTTTAGAGTGGGACCTGAGGACTGATGTTTGTAACAAGCTCCCAGGCACGATGATGATAATGATGGCGGTGGTGGTGGCTGCAGTCTGGGGCCACTCTTTGAGAACCACTGGACTAGAGAAGCAGTTATCAAACATTCTGGTCTCAGGGCACTTTCATACTCTTAACAATGACTGGAAATTTCAGAGCTTTTGTTTGTGTGGGTTTTATTTACATGTAGTATATTAAAAGGTTTAATTGAGAACTTTAAAATGTATTTCTTAATTTGCTTAAAATAAAAATAAACCTATTACATGTTAGCATACCATATTTTATAGAAAGTAACTACATATTTTAAAACAAAAAAGTGAGAAGAATGGCCTTGTTTCACATTTTTGCAAATCTCTTCAATGTCTGGCTTAACAGAAAATAGCTGGGTCTTATATGTGCTTCTGATTTCAATCGGTTGCAATATGTGATTATCGTTGATGTATATAAAAAAGAAATCCAGCCTCACACAGATATATGTTTGAAAAAGGAAACATTATTTTGATAGACTTTTCAGATAACTGTGGCTATTCTTCTTGGCTATTGAACCAAATCCCTGCAAGTGACAGTTTTTAATGTTAAGTTGCAATGTGGAATTGGAAACCGTATTGGTGCACTTTGTTATATCAAAATCCATCAATCTATCTTATATTTTGAATTAATCTTTGATTCATGCATTATGTAATAACATCACACATTGATCATTTCAAAAATATTGATTTCTGAGTTGCAAAAAATCTTCCAAATATTTACTTTTAATTATACAAAATCCAAAGAAATCACATTTTTAATGTCATCATTGGCATTAATGCCATCATTGGCACCAGACTCATTGGCAGAGTCTTTAAGTACTGGGAAACTGTCAAGCTCACAGTGGTGGATACAAGTTTTCCAAAATCTAAATTTTTTCTTGAAAGCTCAAATTCCATCATTGGCAACAAATACTGTCAGCTGTTTTCCTTGAAGTGACAGTCTCACTTTGCTCATTTTTGAGAAAATGTCTGTCAAATACCCAAGTCTGAATAACCATAGTTTGTCTGTCAGTCATTCTTTTAAATTTAAAAAAAAAATTTCCATGGGGAAACCAGTGGGCCAGTTCAGCATAAAATCCAAACAATTGCATAAGTGCTTTCTCTTAGGACAACTATCTTACTTCGGTGTGTAGCAGAAGTGATTTATGCTTTCAAGTACTTAAGAGTTGAGATTTAATAAAAATTATATTTTAACTGCTTCATCAAGAACATTTTTAAGTAAAACTGGCATTTTACATTCTTTTCTGTGAGTGCTTAGTGGTGAAGAATATGATGTGCCACTGCCTTAATTCATGCCAACAAGCCAGCAGAGTTATTCACCATTGCTTCTGCACCTTCAGTGAAAATGTCAACACAGTGAAAGGGACACATAATGTATTCATATTATTATTTTAAAAAGGTTTTGGCCTCAAGACCTCCCCAGAAGGATCTTGGGGAACCCCCTCCCCACCACGGTTCCTGGACCATGTTGGCAAAACTGCTGGGCAAAAGTATCCTGCATCCAAAGTTTTCTTTTACTCACTCAAATACATTCAATAAATCCCTGCTATGTGCCAGCTTCCCTCCATCATTACAGTCTGCTACCTAAACAAGTGGAGCGACTAGAACTTAAACAGAACTCTGCCTCTAAACTTGTAAAGGGATCCACTTACGTAATCCCAAAGGTGGTATTTCCCAAGGCACTTTGCTTTGTCCAGACCCAATACAATGTCATGACGTTTTGCACTGACACAGAGATATTACGCTACTCAAGCAGGTACACTGTACAAGCATTAGCAAGTCAGTTCACAAGGGCATCCATGGCTGGAGCCACCCACAATATTATAGACTTGATGACTTTTAGGGAGATGAGTGAAGTAAGCCAAGACACTGACATTCCATTCTGCCTTACTTTGTTAGGTAAAATAAATCTACATACTTTGTACATACCATGTATGGATACTTCTAAATACCTTATATATGCTATATAGATTATGTATGGATAGGCTATATACTTTAAATAATAAAAAAAAAAGGGAATAGTTTTATAGCAATTACAGGTGTCAGACAGTACACAGTATTTACTTGTTTTCTTTTAAAACAGCACACAGCCGGGTGTGGTGTCTCACGCCTGTAATCCCAGTACTTTGGGAGGTTGAGGCAGAAGGACCGCTTGAGACCAGAAGTTTGAAACCGCCTGGTCAACATAATGAGACCCTCATCTCTGCAAAAGGAACAAATTTTTTAATTAGTTTGGTATATGTTACTGCACACATTTAGTCCCTGCTATTCAGGAGGCTGAGGCTAGAGGCTAGAGAATCACTTGAACATAGAAGGTCAAGGCTGCAGTGAGCCATGATCACACCACTGCACTCCAGCCTGGGTGACAGAGAGAGACCCTGTCTCTAAATAAATTAATGAATAAAATAGCACATACTAAATACTATGTAAGTGTCATAAAATAAAATACATATATTCCAGGGACTAATCTAAGGACCAAACTCAGTTTAGTCTCACTCTTCTCAGGCAGATTTGACATAAAAGCCTTGCGTCTATTAATGATAATTTGCTACGTTTAAGAATATATCAGGAAATAAAAAGCTGGAGAAGGTTTTTCCAATTAGTGTGGTGCAAGGCTTAAAATGTATCATAGTGGAAGTTGCAGCCAATCTTTATTATAAGAAATACACTCCAAAATTCCAGATTCTTCTAAAGTTTTGATGACTGGCATTCTATGCTTACTTCTTCTGTACTAAAACTTTTATTAGATTTCTTCTCCCATCCTCCTTGCCTCTCTCTTCATATGCTACAGCTTGACAAAGCCCATCCAAATAGTTATTCTTATATTTATAGTGAATTATATTACTTTCAACAAATGGTTGGGTTTTTCATTTAGTACAAAAGTGCATCTTGCATATAGTGAGTACTCTCATTATTGGTACCTACGGTTTTATTAAAATGAAGGGGAAACATTTAGGTACAAATTCAGGAAATGCTATTCTCTGAAGCAATCCTCCATGGTCCATTTGTTCTGGAGTGGCATCAATGCTGAAAGTTGCAAGGTATCATCAAAAGTTTATTTACATTCATTGTGTGCTTGTTTCCCACACAAATATATTCTGTGTTTAAAATGTAAAGCCGAGCCAGGCCTTCTCACGCTGTTTGCAGTAAAATACGGCTTACCACGTCTCTCTGAGGAATCACTGACAAATAGGCTCTTGTTGTCCAACTTTCACTCTGCTGAGGGTAATGATTCAGTGGTTCAGAAGGTTAATTCCTAGAGATAGTGTTGTCTTTGGCTTGAACAGATGTTGGTAGTGCTTTAATGTGGTTATCAAACTAGGCTGCCCTTCATTCTTTGCTCTCGGGAGCCTGGGGCATTGTTCCACAAGGCATTCCAGCCCCCCTCTATGGAGATCCAGCAGAGCTGAACATACCACAGCATTACTCCTGCCAGCACAGGCTCCTCTGGGGTCACTGTGGATACTGACAATATACAGCACAGAAACTGATAATGACAGACTTGATCTTTAAAAGATCTGTAAATATTTGTAAATGCATAATGGTTTGAAATGCCTTTTGATACTCTGATTCAATAATCTGTAAAACTACTCACTCATTAGATGTTCAAATCCCTGAATAGCTCTACAGACTGGCCTCTCAATGGCTTACTATATCCTAACACCTTTGTGGCCATATCAATCTCCAAAATTGCTTGGAATAATTGGATGTTCATGTCCACCAAATGGAATCGACATTGGGCAATAATCCAAATATTCAGCAAGTTCAGTTTTGCTGATGTTCATATAAAATTATGAAATCCACTGCAACCAGCTTGGTGGAAGAAAGAGTTCTTTAGGCTAGAAGAGATCATTTCCACCAAGGCACAGTTTCCTATTTTCCTGGCAAATTACTATCAATACAATGCCATTGAAATTATAGCATCCCAATAACACAGTGCCATTTCAAAATCAAACTGTGGTTGTTGACAACTTATTATGTGTCTAAGCACAGAACAGAGTAAGAAATATAACAACGTCCTGCTCTTATGGAATTTAGTCATTTTGGAGAGCCCACGGTTACATGTATGAAATAATCTGAGAACAATCACCACCAGAAGGAAGATGACTTAGTAATAAAATGTATGAGATTGTCTGGACAGCAAAAGCCATGAATGTCACGAAAGAGAGAAAGTGATTATGACAATATTGATGTTGATGTTCAATACAGTTTTATTGACATCTTACTCTGAGCCAGCCCTGAGTTAGGCACTGAGGATACAAACATGAATAAAGCAGTCTTGTCATCAATGAGTTCGCAGCCCAATAAGGGAAACAGACCTGTGAACAGATCATTTCAATAAGATGGGGTACCACTTTGGTGGTCTTGGATATGATCCGGAAGCATTCTCTGGATTACCAGCCTAGGACCCCTGTTCTCTTCCCTTACTTTCTCCCAAATGGAGTCTCTATCTGTCTCTGTTCTGAACCACTTGGAGCTGGGGGTGGGGTGACACAAGCACCCATGTGGCCATCACCAGTGGGACTTCACTGGATAAGACCTGAAGCCAGCACAGTACTCAGTCTCACCCAAGGCCTGCTGTAACCACTACCTGGCTACTGCCTACATTCACTCAAGGCCCTGGGGCTCTACAATCAGCAGGTGACAAAGCCAGCCAAGTTTTTTTCCTTCACTGCAGGGTAGTGAGTTCCCCCAGGCCCCTGGCAGTTTCAGAGATGCTATCCAGGAGCCAAGGACTGGATTCAAAAACCTTACAGGTCTACCTGGTATTCTAGTCTACTGTGGCTAAGCTGGCCCTCAAATCACAAGACACAGTCCTCACTGTTTCTTCCCCTTTCTGAAGGCAGAGGCACCTCACCCAGTGACCATCACCACTACAGGCCCCTGGGGAGTACTGCCAGGCTGCTGCTGATGTTCACTTAAGGCACAGAAGCCCTTCAATAAGCTTGTGGTGAATGCTGCCAGGACTGAGACTCACCTTTCAGGGCAGTGGGCTACCCTCTGACCCAGCACAGCTATAGAAATGCCATCTAAGTGTGAAGACCTGGAATTGGGGGCCCCAAGAACCCACTTGGTGTTCTGCCCCACTGTGACTGAGCTAGTACCTAAGGTGCAAGTCAAAGGCCCTTTTAGTTTTCACTCTGATTTTCTCGAACAGAAGGATTCTTTCACCATAGCCACCACAGCTAGGAATGTTCTGGGTCTCACCTGAAGATAGCATGCCTCAGTCTCACCAAAGGCCCACGGCATCCTATCTGGGTATCACTGCTGGTTTTTCAGCGTCCAAGGGCTCTTTAGTCAGCAGGTCATGGTTTCTGTTGAGACTGGGTCCTTCCCTTCAAGGCAGCATGTTCGCTTCTGGTCCAGAGTATGTCTAGAAATGTCCAGGAGCTAGGGTCTAAAATGGAAGTCTTATAACTCTGATGAATGCCCTATCCTGCTGTGACTGCGCTTATATCAAAGATGCAAGACAAAATCCTCTTTATTCTTCATTCTTCTCTTTTAAAGTGGAAGGAATGGGTCTCTTTTGGAACCGTGAGCTGCAATGCCTGGAGTCAGGAGAGGGGTGGTACAGGCACTGCGTAAGCACTCCCTTAGCTGCCCTGGCTGGTGCCCCAGTAGGTTGCATGACCCCCAAGTCCATCTGCTCTGAGGCCAGCTCAGCACTAGGATTCACCTAGGAGTTGCAGTCCTTGTGGCCTAGATTCCTCTTCAAGTTTATTTAGGGCCCCAGAACACTTCAGCCCACGGTGATGAGGTTTGCCAGAACTCATGCTGCAACTGATAGGATAGACGATTCCCCTCTGGTTAGAGCTGGTCTAAATACTCTATGTCTTCTGTAATTCTCTTCATCATTGTTTTACCATTTTTAGTGTGTAAGTCTTTCACCTGCTCTCTTATTTCTAAGTATTAATTCGACTGGTTTCAGCCCAGTTTTGCTTTCTGCTATGACAGGGTGGTACTAAGTTCAATGCAAAGTTTGACAATTGCTTTGCTTTTCAT